AAATGAACCTTGACCCCTACCTCATACCATATACAAAAATTAATTCAAGCTGGATCATAGATTTAAATATGAATGCTAACACAGTCACACCTTTAGAAAAATACAGGAGAGTATCTTTATAAATGTGGGCTAGGTAAAGATTGAATGGAACAAAAAGCACCCACCATGAAAGGAAAAAATGATATATTGGGATTCATTAAAATTAGGAATGTCTGCCATTAAGAGACAGTATTAAAAGGGTGAAAAAACAAATCACTGACTAGAAGAAAATGTCCCAAACACATTTTTAAAAAACCAAACAAACTAAGAAACAGCCCAATTAAAAAATGGGTCAAGGCCGGCTGAGTGGCTCAGTTGGCTAAGAGCTCGCTCAAGAGTGCAAGCTCTGAGCAACAGCGGTTCGATGCCCGGCCCGAGCTGAGCTGCTGCTGAGCTGCCAACAGGCGGCAGGATGGCTCAGCTAAAACAAACAAACAAATAAACACAAAAACAAAAAATGGGTCAAAAAATTAAAGACATGTCACAAAAGAGAATATCATTAGTAATCAGAGAAATGCAAATTAAAATCATTTTAGAAAAATGGTAGTAATAAGGCTAAATATGCATATTTCTGTGACCCAGCAATTCTCTTCTGTTGTATATATCCAACAGAAATTAGTATTTATTTCACCAAAACAGAACCAGAATGTTCTTAGCAGCTTTACTCATAATGTCCAAAACAGTAGAAACAACCAATGTCCATCAACAATAGAATGGGATTTTTTTGATATGTTCATACAATCAAATCCTATATAATAATAAAAAGGATAAACTACTGATACACACACACTGAACAATATGGCTGACTCTCGCAAACAAATTGAATGAAAGAAGTCTGACACCAAAGAGAACACACTCTGTGATCTCATTTGTGCAGAGTTTAAAGTCAGGCCTAAACAATCTGAAATGAAAGTCAGACCTAACCAATCTGAAATAATAGAAGTCAAAATAGGGGGTTACCCTCGGGGGTGATTCTGACTGGATGGGGACATGAGGGAGAATCGTAGGGTGCTGAAAACTTGTATACATTGATCTGGGTGGTGTACACACAGGTGTATACATATATAAAAATTCATTGACCTCACTTTACTATCTGTATGTTATAACTCAGTTTTTAAAAAGTTACGCTAGTAGCTATTTAAAATTTCAAATGTATGTAAACCAAAGTGAAGCAATGCTACTGTGGCCTCTTAGTACAACTAGGGCCTGAGTCCTGCTCTTGGGTTGGGTGATGTCAGGGATGGCCCAGGGGTGGACACAGCCTCCTGCTATTGAATGGCCAGGTGACACACTGTGATACTGCGGGGGGTGAGGTGGTGGCCAGAAGTATGAGGGGACCATGTTAAAGAAGGGCCAGGCTCAGTGCTTCTCAGTTCCAGCAGTACATTGTCTGGAGAACTATTTTTTTAACTTAATTTTTTTTCTCATAATAAATCTATGTATCTTTCTTTTTAAATTAAATTTTATTGGGGTGACAATTGTTAGTAAAGTTACATACATAGATTTCAGGTGTGCAGTTCTGTAATACATCATCTGTATATCACATTGTGTATTCACCACCCAGTCAGTTCTCTTCCCTTTACCATATATTTGATCCCTTTTCCCCTCATCTACCACCACCCTTAATTTTTTTTTAAAGATTTTTATTGGGTAATTGGGGGGATGGAAACAGTGCTGGGGAATTGAGGGAAGGGGAACAGACAAGTTGCTGTCGTTTTGTTCTTCAGTCTAGTTGTGGAGGATGTCGCTTCACTGGCCCAAGTTGGCACCATCATTGCTCTCTTCCCCGGTGAGGCAGATCAGTCGCCGGCTTCTGGACGGCTGCTCACTGCAGCTGCTGGCCGCTCACGCTGGCTGCTGCCTACACACGGTAGCCCATGGCAACCCACTGCCACAGGGGCTGCAGCCTACGCCATCACCGGGGAAACACGGCAGCCCAGCTCCAGGTTGAGCTGTTGTTCAGCATCTTAACTATAGAGGGCAGTGTCACTGGCCCTCATATGTGGGATCCGAACCGGAGCCCTCTGGCATCCCAAGCCAGTTCTTAACCAACGCACCACTCGGCCGGCCACCCCTCCCCCCTTAATTTTTTATTGTAAAAAAATATGCATAACAAAAAGTTCACCATTTTAACCTTTTTTAAGTGTGCAATTCAGTACATTTACAATGCTGTACAATCATTACCACCATCTACCTCTAGAAGTTGTTTATCCTCCCAAATGGCAACTCTGCTCATTATTCACTAACTCCCCATTTCCCCTTCTCCAGCCCCTGGCACCCACCAGTCTACTTCCTGTATGAATTTTACTACAATAGGGACCTCATATAAGTGGAATCATACAGTATTTGTTCTTTTGCGTCTGGCCTCTTTCACTGAGTGTATTTCCTAGGTTCATCTATGTTGTAACCTGTATCAGAAATTCATTCCTTTTTAAGGCTAAATAATATCCAGTTTTATGGCTAGACCACATTTTGTTTATTTTTTCATCTTTCTGTGGACACTTGGGTTGTTTCCACCTTTTGGCTCTTGTGAATAATGTTGCTAAGAACATGGGTGTACAAATATCTGTTCGAGTTCCCGCTTTCAATTCTTTTGGGTGTATGTACCCAGAAGTGGAATTGCTGGGTCATACTCGTATGGACAGTCTATGGAGCACTATTTTTTAAAAGCCATTGCTCAGCCCAACCACCCAGAGATTTCATTGGTCTGGGGTAGGACCCCAGCATGGATACATTTTAGAGTTACTCAGGTGATTCTAATGAGCAGCCAGAGTTGAGAATCACTGGACCAGAGAGATGCTGGGAAAGTGACAGAGGAGGGACAATAGCCAGGAGTGAGGGGGGAGGAAAAGGCAGGGCCCGCGTGTGCCCGGGAAGGTGGGAGGGGTGAGCTACCCTCCCCCCAACGTAACCGCGCCTCTGTGGTCTCATTAGCCTCTCAGTGTTGGGGGTCAACACTCGCTCCCGATCAGACACCCATCTTTCTTGCCCCACTGACCTCAGGCCTAGGGTTGCCAGATTTAGCAAAATAACAAACAGGACACCTAGTGAAATTTGAATTGCAGATAAACAACAAATAATTCTTTTAGTATAGGTATATCCCATGTAATACTTGAGACATACTTTTTGAAAAACCTCACAATTTATCTGAAATTCAAATTTCACAGGGTACCCTGCATTTTATCTGGCACCCCGTACTTAGGGCCCACTCAGATAAGACCCCCTGTCCCCAACTGGGCCTTCACCTTTAGACACCTTGTCTCAATAAGGACAGAGGAGGAGACCCCAGCAGGTGGGCCAGGAAGTACCCCACTCCCATGACCTTCCAGGGCAGCATCAAAGGCTGATGAGGGGGCATCCCCAGTGAGGTGGCTGCCTGGCCACCTGCATGCAGCCCCAGATGTCACCCCTGCAGGGTGGGACCTACCACAGGCCTCTGAGTGGGGTGAGGTGCAGGGGCCACACATACCATCAGAGACAGTCAGAAAGACCCTGCCCAATGCAGACAGCCTCCAGTGAGAGCAGCAGGAGACCCTGTGAGCCCAGCTTGAAGAGGGGAAGACTGCGGGCAGGTGGCCCAGAGGTCTCAGCCTGCCGAAGGTCTGAGTTGGAGTGGGCAACGCCAGACGGACAATCGGGGGATCACTGTCGCTTCCCTGGAGCAGGGCTTCCCTGGAGCAGGGCTCCCCCACTCCCATGCGTGCCCCGGAGCTTCATCCTTGGCGCAGGGTGCAGCTAAGGACCTGTGCTTCTGCTGTTGGTGTCTGTCAGACCCTATCCCTCAGGCTAGACAACTGGGCTTCTGCCTCATCCTTGAGAAGATCCAGGTCCCGATGTACTTGTTGTCTTTCCAGTGAGTCCCATCTTGTCCTGTGCTTCCCGCCCCCCACCTCCCCACCCCCATCCCCACTCCCCCAAGGGTCTCAGCCCTAGTCATCTGCTTGGCGCTATGCTCAGACCGAGCTTGGGGCTCTGCTCTGCCCACCGAGCTGGGCCCACAGTGCTGGCCTACGGCCTGGGCTGCCTGTATCTCAGGCCACAGCTTCTTGGCTATTCCTCTCTCCCAACTTGAGACCAAATAGCCTTTCCCAGAGGAGGGAGGAAGTGGTGCCTTCACCACAGGACATGGCCCTCCTAACTGCACTGGCTCCTGGAACCCTAGTGGGAGCATGGGGATGGGCTCAACTCTGGGGAGCCCATGGTCCCTGGGACAAAGGAGTGGACACCCAATATATATCCCCGCCTGAGAGCTGGACGCAGGGTGACCTGTCATGGCCAAGAGTGAGCCCCCAGGCTTGGGGAAAGTACGTGCCCCCATTGAGAGGACCAAGAGGAACCCCAGAGTCCCAGGAGCCTAGCTATAGTGGGGACCCCATAGCCAACAGCCACCTATGGGCCAGCTCAGTGGCACCTCTTCTGAGAAGGCCTCTGTGGTTACTGTTCCTCTCAGAATGATAAGCCTCATCTCCATGCAAGGGTGCGGCTAGGAGAGGCCCGTGGGGGCTGACAAGAGCAGGCACTGGACCCCACCCCACCTGCTCCGCCTCCCTAGGCCCTCAGGACCCTGGGGCAGGTCTGGTATTGCCACCTCCATGTTGCAGGGGAAGGGGGTGAAGGAATGTACCCAGGTGCTGATTCCAAGTTTAACCATTGGGCTGCACTGCTCAGCATTACTTCTGCCTGCTTGTTGTACTTTCCAGCTACTTCCTGCTCCTCCTGTCCCATCACTGGTACCTGGGGAGCTGGGCTCTGTCGCCTTTGCTGTCCTTGGGCATGTTTGTTTATTCCACACCGTGAACTAGTCCTGCCCAGCAGCTCCTGGCACCCATTGGCACACCTTCCTGGACTTAACCCAGTCACCCCTCCCCAGGGCAGTTCAGCTTCAAAAATCATGGTTCTTCCTGCCAGCCGTCTCCTCTCCCTCCCGCATCCTGCACTGAGGCAGCCTGGACGCCACTTACCTCCTGGCCCTCGTTGCCTCAGGGATTCCAGGACTGGGGGGCCGGGAGGTCTCCATCCCGGCGCTCCTGGGCTCAGTCCTGCTCCAGTATCCAGAGGCAGCTGAGTAGTGGTGGGTATGTCCTGGGTCTCTCTGTGGCTGGTCAGTGGGGCCCCAAGCCCTCAGGATCTGTCCAGGACAGGAGTGAAGCCTTGTCTGAAGCGGGCAGGAGGCGCTGACTGCGCGGGGCAACACGAATGCAGCCCACCCGTTCTTGCAGTCCCAGAGCCCACAGGTTGTCTAGGCAGCTGGGGCTCTTCACCTCTTCCTGTGCTGGCTCCACCTCAACCCGCCTTCCTGTCTGATTTCAAAAACCAACAGCTTCTCAGACAATCGATGAGCCACGGCTGTCTTGCCAGCTCTCTGCCTTTGTCACTGTCCCGTAACTCAGAGAGGCAGGGGTTGCCCCTAAGGTCTTCATTCGAGAACCCAGCGCCCCTACAGACCTGATGCTCAGGAGAGAGTGGTTCAGCCAAAGCCACAAAGGAGAACAGGCTCCCCATCAGCAGATCTTTGCCTTTTCAGGGGTGATAGGGAAAGCAGGTGAACAATGGGGACGTTCAGTGACTTGCCCAAGGCCACCCAGAGGGAAGCTGTTTTCGCTGGGGTTGGACCAGTGTCCTCCCACTTCCAAGCCACACACTCTGATAATGCTGTGGCCCTTGTCGCCATTTCTAAACCCTCTCCTTTAATTCTTTCTAGCACCTAAGAGGTACCTTTGACCCAACTATAACCCACAATGTCTTCCTGTGAGTCAGAGGCCCCCAAAGCCAGGTCAGCTGTACTCTGAAATGGCAGAATGTGGCAGTTCACACAGGCCCCTGCAGTTGGACTTCACTATGTGGGCTGCACTGACACGGTGGGTGGGAGGTGAAAGGACATGGCCAGGAGTGAAAGTTACAATAGAGGAAAAGTACAGGACATCCTCCGGTGACAGGGAGCAAGCCACTTAATTGTGGGACCACTGAGAGAAGCAGGTGACAGGAAGGAGCCAAGTGACAGGGGCCTCAATTTTCCTCAGCAAGCAAGTGGGAGCCAGTGATGGTTGTAGAGCAGGAGAGTAGTGGGTTCAGATGCATGCAGCAACTTGTGTATAAGGGGAGGTGGGAGGGGGTATGTGCTTGTACTGGCCTCATCTAAAAGCTGTGAGTGGGTGATGGAGGGAAGGGGAGGGGACCGAGGTGGCAAATTAGAAGTGTTCCGTGTGATGACATCCTTCTGTGCTCCCCTCCCCACCTCCCTCGCATCAGTTCATTCTGGGCACCCAGTCACTTGCCAGGTGCTGGGGGACACACAGTGGCTCCCTCTGGAAGCCTGCTGAGGCTCCAGGCAGGCAGAGCCCAGACTGGTGGCTGCAGCCTGAGCCGTGGGGTGCAGAGAAGGCCTCTCTGCAAAGGCTTCTGAAACCAGGGCCGCCTACAGGATGTTAGAAACCGCAGGGGCCTGGGGGGGTATCTGTCACATGAAAGAGGCCAAGAGCCTGCTGTGTTCCTCCTTCCACAGCTCAGAGTGGATGGATCCTGAGCATAAGAGGAAACAGCCTTCTCCATGGGGATCTCAGGGAACATTCTGGAACACTTCCCTGCCAACAGCTTTCCTCCCTGCCTTGAAGGAATGTCCCACCACCAGACAGGGCTGGTGCCTGGGCTTCCCCTGCCTGCTCCTCTGTGAGAAGGTGGGGAGTTTTCTCCTGACTCCCCTGGGGGTATTTTTATGCTTTGGGCAGAGTCTCCCCTGGTTGTTCTCACTCTGGGGCTTTCTGTCCACCCAGAGCTGTGGGCAGCCCGAGGAGCAGTAGCCTCGGCCCTTCCCAACTCAGCGGCAGCCTGAGGCTTCCTGCCTGCAGGGGTGGGGCCTTGCTGGGGTTGTGCAGGCTCCTGGGGGCCCCCTTTGCCTGGGCCCTGCTTGAGCTGGGCTGTGGTTCTCTCTTGATTGCCTTGAGTGACCGTTCCCAGGCCATAGCTGAGCCACAGGAAGTGGGACAGGTCCGGGCGGTATGTCACATCACAGCAAAGTGTTGGTGTCGCAGTTTTTTGCTGATTGGTGAATGTTCTCCTGCTTCAGGCTCAGTATACTTTCTTCTTGTGAGCTTGTGGAAGGGAACCCCTGCGCCCACTGTCCACCATGAGGCTGGTCTGGCTCCTCCAGCCTCACTGCAGGTGCTGCGAGAGGGTGGTTCTTGCCACCATTTTCCTTTTCAACCAATCAGCTGGCTCTCATTTCTCAGTTCCTGAGTCAGGTCTAATTTCCATGGAAGTGTCAAGGTTCTGTCCCTGGATACAACCCATTATCTCATTGTGGTGGTTTCTTTACTACAGTGGCTAGTTTTTAACCCCGTTTCCTGCTCTGCAAAGGTTCAGGCTCCAGGTTGGAGCCCTGGCCAGGCCCACTGCTGACCCCTGCTGGCTCCTGGGGGGCACGCTGTACAGACCCCACCAACCAGGGTATTAAGCCACCAGGCCTCACTTTCCCTGCCTTTCCCTGGCCTGTGGCTTCTTACCTGTTTTAACCCCTCCCCCAACACGTCTTTATCAACCTGGAGTTGGTAATGGGGCTCCCAGGCCTCTCCCAGGGGAGCGTACCCAAAGCTGCATGTCCAGGTCCATGGTCTCCACCATGTGACAGTAAAGCCTGATAAGAACCCCAAGTCTCCTCCTACTAACTCCATCTCACTTCCCATTGTAGCGGAGGGAGATAAAGCCCTTCATGTAAGAAACATGTGGTACCTTCTCAAACAGGCCAGACTCCATTTTGAGTCTGATTAAAGCAGCATCTGCCATTAGCTATGTGATCTGAGCCCTGTTGTTCCTCTAATCATCCACCCCTGGGCAGTGTGTGCAGGGAAGGTTGGGTCCTCTCCACCTGGTCACAACCCAGGACACAATACATGTTCAAGGAACCCCATTTCATCTCCCTGAATGCTGCGTGCCTGAGGCCCAGCTCACAAAACCCCCTCTCCAGGAAGCTGTCCCTTTGGGCCACCTGAGCACTGGCCCTCACATCGGGCACAGGCCAGGCAACAGTCTGTGTCCTTCACTAGATGACCAGAAGGACCAACTTGTTTCTGAACTCTCTCCCAGGACCCTGCACACAGGCCAGAGCAGGCTTCACCAAATTGTCCTGTTAAGATGCAGATTCTGAGTCAGTGGGCCTGGCGGCCTGAGCCTGCATCTGTGACAAAGCCCACGTGAGGCTGCTGGGCTGTGGGCCTCCTTTGAACATCATGGGCTGGAGCTCAGTACCCGGTAAGGGCTCTCTTAATGTGGGTGTATGGACAGATGTGTGGATGAAAGGACATCTGTTATCTGAGAACCAAAGCGAAATGAGGGGCCAGCAGACCTGAGTTACCCCTTGAGGTGAAGAACAGGTCCAAGGGCCTTCTGCAGACATACTTTGGGGGCAGCAGGGTGCTATGGATGAAACTCACAACTTGCTTCCCTTGTTCTTTTTCTAGAGTGAATATGGAAAGTTTTCATAAAGCTTTTTTGTTTTTATTGCACATCATATAAAATGGACTGCACTGTATTTAAAACAGACAAGACATTCACAAGGATGCAGAGACCCAAACTCTTCTTTTCTGGGTCTCACCTGTGCTCCACACTGCTCCCGAGGCTAGAGGCAACTTTAACACACACCAACCGAACCAGGTCACAAAGAACATGCTTGTTTTGGGGGCTTCAGAGCTGTGTTGGGTCCTTCTGCACTGTCCAGTTTAGAGACTGCTGGTGACAATCACAGGTGTCTGGGCAGGACGGCTAGGCCAGCAGAGGACCTGGGGCATGGCAGTGCGGGAGGCCTGTGGACACCTGGTTTGCTGGTGGAGGCTGGGATTACAGCACAAATGCTGAGAAGGCAGGCAAGGCAGGCTGGACCCGGACATCCATCTCAGGACAACGCAACTGATGGATGTAGAGAGCGAAAGATGTGCCAAATCAGGCCTCACCCTGGCCAACTGGTGATAGCCCATTGCCCTTCTGAAACACACACTGGCCCAGTGGGGTTAAAGGGAGACCAACTGTGGGCACCGACAGAGGGAGGAGGCCAGGGGCCCTAAATCCAGTGGGTGACATCCTCCAAATACCACTTTAGCAAATGGAGTGGAGAGGAAGCTGGTCCATGTTAGTGCAGTTGTCATTTTCACAGGGGGAGTGGGTATGGTCCCATTGAGACCTGGGCTCAATGAACGGGCTGCTGACCCTCACAGGCTGCCAGTAGCCATGGGTGGGGAGTGGGGGGTGGGCTGTCTGGTTCTGCCTCCCTTCTTCTTGCCCACAGGCTGCCGCCTCTTCCTCTCAAGCTTTTCCTTCCGGGCTGCAGCAGTGGTGAAGGTGATGCAGTGGGCATCCAGGAAATCTAGCAGCTTCCCCGTGGCCATGCGGATGCCCTGCTGCCTCAGCTCAGCCTGCAGTTCTGCCAGCTCAAAGGGCTGGTACAGCAGGACCTTGCGGTAGAGAGCCGGCGTCGAGCGGATGTAGCGCCTCACTGCCTCCTCTGTGGCCACTGCCTGGACAGCGGCCTGCGAAGCACTGACCCCCTCCTCACCCTCTTCATCTTCTCCTGCGGACTCAAAGGCCACTCCAAACTCACAGGAAGAACTGAAAAGAACCAGACAACATTTGGCAACACCTCTTCCCTCTTTGAGGGAAGGAGTGGAGTCTGTTTTTATGTCCCCTGAGGAGCCTGGCATATGGTATGGGTGACCTCCCAGTGCTGTGTGTCCCTGGCATTCTTGCTGCTGGCCTGGGAAGGATCTTGCCCTCAGCCAGAAACTTCCATCGACAGCAGCCGGTCCACACCCAGAAGGCACGCTGGGCCGGCCCCGTTGAGGGAGCGTCCTGTGGGCTGGGGACATGGGAGCTCCAAAGGGCTGCTCAGGAGGCCCACAGGGACTGCCCTTTAATCCCATCTACGTTTCCTGTAGTTCCAACCCAGGAGGCAACCGGGGCTTCTGAACATTGGCCATTATGCCTCACTACGCCAACTCTCGGACCCACTGGTAAGAGGCCCTATGAAGCCACTGGCCCGGTCCCGCCATCTAGTTACCTTTGTGAGCTAAGGGAGCTGTCACTGCCGTCCACAGAGGTGGCTGTGGATTTCTGGGAGGCTGGGTGCTGGGTTTCACCATCAGGGCCTAGGGGCACCTCTTCAGCTGATGACATGCTCGGTGGGGGGATGCTTCCACCTGGCTGCTGCCTTCGATGTCGGGGGCCTTTGGTCTTAGCAGGTCCCTTGGACCTTTTGGGAATGGGGTTAGAAGTGGCCTCGTCCCTGGCACACCCAGCTGCCCTTGAAGGCTTAGAGGTCTTGGCGGTATGGGTCTGGTTGCAAGGAGACTCCAGGGGCACCTGTGAGGACTGGATCTCATCCTCAGAGTCTGATTCCAGTGTCTGGTGAGTATATTGGAATATCTCCTTTAGTTTCAGGACCATCTGGCGTTTGGGCAGAGGGCGGACCCCAAACCTGAAGGGGGAAACAGGTGAACTTCAGCAAAGAGCAAACACTTATCAACAAATGAATGGCTTTATGTAACTGAAATCTTAAATGCCTGGTTGTTATGAGCATTCAAAGGTTGGTGTCTGTCTTGCGTGCCAACTGAGCTTACTCTGAAGCCCAGGAGGGCTGCTGTCTGTGTTCTGAGCTATAGTGGTGGCAGTGACTTCACCAGGCCCAAGGTGAAGAGCATCATTCATTGGGATGTGATAGTTTTGATGTTCTTTTAAAAATCAAGTCTTACTTAGACTGTTTAAGGCTCGGGTCCCATCTCCATCCACATGGCACATGGAGACCTGTCACCTGATGGGTAACCCAGAGGAATCTCATTTCTTAGTTTTTCGAGGCCTGAGTAATTTAAGGAACAGCATGAAGAGAGCCAGCAGGCATGCACCTCCCTCCTCTCAGGGGCCCCCATAACCAGAGCCCAGGGAGGAGCCCGTGGAGGGTTCTGCTCTCTGCCTAAGCCTGGTCACTCAAAGGATGAAGGGGACCAATAATGAGCAAGCGTTAAAAAACACCACCAACCTATCCAATTCCTTCTTCAGTACTGGGGTCTCCATGATGGAATACCGTGGCATTGGTGTTATGGGCACTTTCGGGGGCAAGTTTTTCCTCCGATTAGCACCTTCTGGGTAGAACAAAAAACACGTTTCAGCACAAGGGACCTGGGTTTACCTCTTCTGACCCTGTCAGTGTCACCAAGAGAAATACTGCACTTGAATAAAGCCCAGCCTCCATGTGCGTGAGGAGAGCAGTGACGTCTATTGCTTCACTGTCTGATTCTGGCTTCATGTCTTCCTGTGGGAAACATCACCTGGCACATGATAAGGGCCATGGCAGCCTTATTGTGCAATGCTGATGTTGTATGAATGGGGCAGAAGCAACTGAGCGGTTGCCACAGGGTGGGGTGACAAGGCAATGGCAGTGACTGCTAATGGGTACGGAACTTATTTTGGGGGTGATGAAAATGTTCTGGAATTAGGTAGAGGCGATGGTTGCGGAACGCTGTGAGTATACCAAAGACCACTGAATTGTACATTTTAAAGAGTGAATTTTATGGCATGTCAATAATGCCTCAATAAAGCTGTTATTTTTAAAAAAATCAGTATTTTAAAGACAAATGGGACAATAAGGAACAGATGGAGTTCCGTTTTAAGATGGAGTTCTTATCCTTTTTATGAGCATAGAGCCCTTTGAAAAGCCAATTATAACAATAGGTTCTGTCTCCTGAAAAATGCACAAAATTCTTTATATAATTTCAGAGACTCTGTCACCCCTTGAAAACCATCTCTGATTCAGACTAAGGTCCCCCGGTCTAAAGTCTCCTGCAGCAGTTCTCACGGCACCACCTGGGAACCAGTCAGAAATGCAAATTCTTGGTTGCACCCCACACCTCCTGAAGCAGAAGCTCTGGGGTAGGGCTTGGCCACATGTGCTTTAAGCTCTCCAGGCGATTCTGATGCTCACTCAAGGCCGAGAGCCCAGTTGGTGTAGGATTTTAAGAGGAAATGAAACGCCAGGTCGCAGGCAGATGCTCAGCCCGTAAGCTCTGCCTCCCTGTTACCAGTCCCTGCTCAGTACCACCCTGCCCCTCCTGGCTCTTCCTGGATCTGCCCAGCTGGGGAGAAGGGGCAGCACCTTGAGGGGCTGACACTGGGTGCTTTGAGTCTCCCCTATGACTGAAATGAGCTGGGAAGTGGCATCCTCCACTGAAGGGATAAGGAAGGACTGAGACCCCTAGCAGGCCTCCCACACTTGCCCTTGATTTGTTTTGCCCTGTTGTTTTTATTAAATTGAGATAAAAGTCACATAATAAAATTTCAAAGTGAATAATTCAGTGGCACTTAGTATATTCATAATATTGTGCAACCACCACCTCTATCGAATTGCAAAACATTTTCATCCCACAAAGGAAATGCTGTGCCCAGTAAGCAGTCACTCCCCATTCTCCCCTCTGTCCCTGGCAATCACTAATCTGCTTTCTATCTCTATGGAGTTGACTGTCCGGGACATTTCATAGAAATTGAGTCACATGATATGTAGTCTCTTGTGTCTGGCCTCTCAACACTGTGTTTTCAGGTTCACCTATGTTGTAGCGTGTGTCAGGGCTTCATTCCTTTTTAGGACTGAATAATATTCCATTGTATGGGTGGACTACATTTTATATACCTACTCATCAGCTGATAGACATTTGGGTTGTTTTTGCCTCTTGGCTATTGTGACTAGAGCTGCTGTGAACATTTGTGAACAAGGATCTGTTTGAGTCTTGATTTTAATTCTCTGGGATGTATAACGTAAGAGTGGAACTGCTGGGTTATAATGGTGATTCTGTGTTGAACTTTTTGAGGAACTGAACTGCCCAATCTTAAGGAACACCTGAGGTGTGTGTCTTGCCTCTTGGAGGTGCTGGTTCAGTATTCTGGAGTGGGGTCCAGGGGCAAGGATTTTTAATAAGTGCCCAGGTGAGCATAGGGTCCGGGCATTTAGGAAGGCCTGCCTTACTGGCTAAGAAAGGTATGTTTGACAGCACGCCCATTCTCCCTGAACTGCGGGGAGGGGTCTGTAAGGCAAGCAAGGGGCTTGCTGCAAGTCAGCAGGCCCTTCAGCATCACCACCCCGTGGTGTCATTACTGATTTCCTCCCCAGCCCTCCGGGTAAAAGACAGACAACCCTCTCCCCTACTCACTTGGCTTCTCTAACCCTTCTGATTTCTGAGCTCGATCAGCACTCGGCGTCTGGGTCAGAGGAAGAACTTCTGGAGACTTCTGTTGTTCTCCATCCCAATCGTCCCATAGAGCTGAATTCAAACAGCTCAGCGTGTTGCCCCCAGGGGAGCTGGTCCTAGGGGATTTCTCTTGATACTTCCTTTGGCCAGTGCAATTTCCTCGGATGGGGGGGGTGCCCAGGAGTGTCGGGGAGTGGCAGTCACCAATGTCCGGGGCCTCCCCTGCCCTACCGCTGGGGCTGCTGGTGCTCAGGGGGCCAGTCCACTCGAGGTTCACATGGTCAATTGGAATCGGTGAGAGGGGCTCAACATTCCAGCAGCAGTCGTCAGCTGGCCTGGAGGGGTTGCTGTCCTGCAGGGGGGTGCCGCTCACCTGAGGGGAGACCACCTCCTGCTCATCATCACTGTCTTCCACCTCAACCACTTCACTCACTGTGGCCTGATTCGGCAGGCTCGGCCTAGGTGGCGAGCGCTCCTGGAACTGCCTGCTGAAATCAAGGCCTCCTGAGGTCGGACAGGAAGCCGGGGGAGAAAAGTGCTTGTGGCGCCTGGGGCAGGGACTGGAAGGGCTCCTGTAGATCTGCCTTCTGCTGTCAGGGCTTCCAGGAGCAATAGAGACCAGGCAGGACAATGACGTCTGGGGCACGATTACCGAAAACTTGCTCGCAGCCTCGGGTCCATCCTTGTTTTCTAATGAGACCCTGGGCTTGAGCTGAGCCACTTGATTCGCTGAAGTCCTGGCCCTGAGGCCCGTGATTTGGGTCTGCGATGAACAGTCTCGGCTTCTGCTGGCCAGCGGGGTGGCAGGCACCAGCCACGAGGTGTCTATGGTGCTGTCCTCATAACGGCTGCTCTCAGGGTCAAAGAACAGCCGGGGGGTTCCTCTGCCACCCACAGAGCCTTGGTTCCCAGACGACACCCCCTCCTCCTGCTGCAGTGTAGCCTCTCTTCTTGGTGGGCTTTGGGAAGGTTCCTGATCTGCATCAATGTCAATGATGGAGAACAGCTCAGAGGACTTGGGGCTAACTTCTTGAACTTTTCCTTCTTCGGAGGGACCATTAAAAACTGACTTTGTTTTTGTTTGTTCTAGCTCCAACTCTTCATCTGAATCCAATAAAAGGATAACCTCATCTTCTCTGTTCATGCTGGATGGAGAATTCTGAGATCTGGAGCTCTGATGGCCAGGTTTTGCTTGGGTTAGGTCAATGGATGGAGACTTTTCTGGGGAGGGCAGGACCCCTTTATTTTTGCATTCTAACATGAAACCACGTTCTTTGCCTTTCTGGCAGCCTGGATCGTTAAGTAGGGGGAGAAGGCTCCGGCCCCTCTTTCGCCTTGATGGTGAGTCCTGGGAGGCGGCCCTGGAAGCTCTGCCCTGCGACTGGGGCCTTGGTGGGGAGGAGTCACTTGTGCGATTAGGGCGAGGGTGTGGTGGGCAGGGACTCCTGTCTGGAGGGGGCTGTGAAGGGGAGAAGCATGGGTGCGATGGGGGTGCCTGCCAGGGAAGGGGGGCACGGGAACTCTCCACGTCTCTTTCCCTGACGGTGCCCTTGCCTTCCTTGAGATCACTTGTTATTTGGGATGGTTCAGGGTGTCCTCCTGGAGTTGATGGAAAGGGCTGTTCTTCATCATCAGCAGCATCAACTGAGTACAAAAAGGGGCCTTCCTTTCTCTCTGCCCGGCTGCCCTGAGGAGGGCTAGAGCCGGAATGGTCCCGTGCTTCCTTTGGAACCTCTGCTTCCTCCTCCCTGTCGGAACACTGGCCCTGGAGTGGCAGGAGCATGGACTGTCTCGCGTTTTTCTCTTTGGCTGGGGCCTCATCTCCTCCCTGCCCAAATGATTCCATCTGTTCTGCATTTTCCAACTGTTCTTGAACCTGGGTGCTTGCTCGGATTCGCCCAGAACCTAGACCACCCTCCCCAAGCTGCTCAGTTTCTTCCTTGATGTCTGGAGCTCTTTCCCCCTGGAGCAGCTTTCTCTGAGTAGCTGCAAATTCATAAATTTCTTCCATTTCTGCTTCATTGACCTTCTCTCTGTCTTCTTGATGGTCCTCAGATTTCAACAAGGTCTCTGCTTCCTCTTCTTCATCTACCCACATTGACCTCAAGAGTTCTTGGAAATTCTCCGCTCTGTTTTCACAATCCTTGTCTTCCTTCTCCTTCCATCGGTCGCCCTCTGAATCCATCACAACAGGCGCTTGTTCGCACAGGTGAACAAGCTCATTCACACCAAACCTGCAACAGGAAACACCGTGCATCATCAGCACCCTTCACAGGGGGCAGCTAGGAGACCCCGGAGAAGGAGAAGATAGGAGCGGAAGTCCTCTCAGGGAGGACTACCAGGACTCAGTCCTACCCTCCTCCCTGTTCTCCTGCAACTAGGGTGCCGGTGATCATACCCCAGCCACTCAGTTCTAGAAACAGAGACTCGTGAGCCTTTCAGGCTGGGCTCACTAACTCCACTGCACAAACACGAAGGGTGCATCTGGCTGTGCTGACGGTAACAGAAACTAGGGGTGCTGCAAAACTGCGGAGCATGTGCTGCCTTGAAAGGTACCCAGAGCAATGCAGACCAAACCTGTCACAGGTCAGTGCAGGCCAGTGGGTGCAACAGCCTGCCACCTGCTTAAAGGCTCTGTGGTCTAACTGGTACATTTAAAACCCCGGAGGCTGGGCTGGTCCTTTCCCAAGAATGAATGAGTGATGACGTGGACTTGGATGAACAAGGTTTTATCCCAGAGGCCCTCATGCCTTGGCAGGAGGTAGAACTCATTTTTTTGCTGAGCTACCTGCCATCTCTCCTGAGATACTGGTGTGGACAGCTGGGAGGAGCAGATTCATGCGAGATGAACTAAGCCTTGTGTCCTCTGTTTTCTGGAACTTGGGAAAAGACTGCCGTTGTTCAGCCTCAGTGGTGGAATAATTGAGGAGCGACAGTATTTGGGGGCAGCTGAGGCTGAGGACCACCCTCTTAATCACCCCCAGGGAGCTAAAAGCCATGTGGCTCAGCAGAAGCCCCCTCAAGCAACACTCAGCTCTCATGCAAGAGTCCATTTCTGGCCAGACCTATAAAAATGCTTTCTTCAAGGATACCACTGGGCATATACTTGGGATTAAAAGGTATAGGAAGGACTCGGCCCTGGCCCTCCCATAAGCCATCAACCTGGTAATCTTTGGCAGTTAATGTCAAAAGCCATGAAGTAGGGGCCAGCCGAGTGGTTCATTCGTTGAATTTGCTTGGGAGCACAAGCTCTGAGCAGCAGGGCCACCGGTTCAGATCCCACACAGGCCAGTGATGCTGCGCCCTCTACAGCTAAGATGGTGAACAACAGTTTGACCTGGGCTGGGCTGCCGTGAATCGCCGGTGACGGCGTAGGCTGCAGTGGGGCTGCAGTGGACTGTCGTGAGCTACTGTAAGCGCCTGGCAGCTGGTGTGAGCTACCAAGAGCCGCCATGAGAGGCTGTCTAGGGGCCCGTGACCGATCTGCCTCACCAGGGAAGCGCAATGGTCACAATAGCAACATGGGCCAGTGAAACGATGTCCTCCACAACTAGACTGAAGAACAAAAGGACAGCAACTTATCTGTTCCCCTTCCCCCAATTCCCCAATGCTGTTCCCTCCCCTAATTCCCCAATAAAAAAAAAAAACTTAAAATAAATAAATAAATAAATAAATAAATAAATAAATAAATAAAAGCCATGAAGTAAATGGAAAGAACAGTGTGGACCTGCGGGCCAGCGAACTCAGGTCAGGGACCAGCTGGGAAGGTAGGCCAGTGTCTGCGGTGTAGAGATAATGCAGGAACGCACAGGTGGCCTCCGTGCTCATGTCACTCAGCAGGACGCGCTGTGTTCTCAGGTCGCCGTCTTCTACAGCGAAGAAGCCGTCACTGTTTACCTGAGGGTGAAATAAAGTACAGAAGGTTTAGCGACTGGACAATCCTGACTTGGGGCGAAGCAGGTGGTCTGGAGGTGTCCTGTGAGTTTCTCACCAACAGCCTCAGCCCTGGGACAAGCATTAGCCTATGTCGCTCTTTTTTGTTGGCCAAGATTTCTGCAGTTTTCAAAATCAAATCAGGGATATGTGTTCAAGAATCCAGTTAGTTCCTTCTTGACAGACATGTCAAAGGCATTAGAACTTTCTGAGAGAGACCGACAGCTGTTTCCTGGATTCCTGCAACATGTTATTCAAGCCAAACACTTGTCGGTACAGAAATGCCTGTCAGCAGCTCAACTTTAAAGAGGTCAATTATTAGACTTTATAATTATGCAAATAGAAGAAAAAGAAACAATTCTGGGGCGAGGGGGAGGATTTTTATTCAACGGAACAAGAAATCTGATTATTTCCCAATCCTGAGGTCATCGTCTCATACCACTTCCTAACCTCAAACGTGTCTGTCTTCTCCATGGAAGTGTAACCTTATGACAACAGAGAAGAAAAAACGTTTCAGGCAGTGGGAGGAGAGCAGGGGGTGGGTTGGGTGAGAGCATGGGCTGAGCGGGAGCGAGGGGGCTCAGGAGCAGGGAGCTAAGGGGGTAGGAAGAGAGAGAGAGAGCCTGGGCAGAGAGTGAAGGGAAACAGAGAGAGAGGCAAGGAGAGGGAGAGGGAGGCAGAGGGGGAGCGGAAGGGAGAAGAAGGACAAGGAGGCTTGAGGAGGATGGGAGGGTTCCACAGAGGTGCGGCTAGTTCACGAAGTACTTACATACTGCATGAGAAGTGGGCATCTGGCATAAAGCACGAACTTGTGTGCATAGATCATCTCCCCACTGTCCATCTGAAACTGGACATCACTCAGGTGTGGGTTATTGACCATGGCACCGAAGTCAGCAACCAGCAAACCGAGGGAGAGCTGAAACAGGAGAGCAGCCATGTCCATCTGTCACTCGCCTCTCTAACTGTGCAAGTTACCCAGCTGAGATGGCGCCATGGTGACCAGGCAGGACCTTTGCCCCTTGTGCTCCTCTCAGGGTTCCTACAATGGGTTCCACTTTTAAGTCACCTTAAGTCACTCAGCGACATGGAACAGCAAAACACTAGCTTCTTAAATTCTCTATCACACGGAGTTCCCTGGCCTAAAATGGGAGGGACCAGCAAGTGGACAGGTATGGTGGTTAATAAAGATGGAGCTACAGCAGCAGCAGCTTCTGGGTGCTGTGTGTGTGTCAGGCCTAGTGTTTCACACACACCGTTGTGCAGCCCTGTGAGGAAACTTGCCAGCCTGGTATAACAGATGAAGACCCCCCAGTCCAAGTGATTCAGGGACCCGACTGAGAGGAGCTCCAAGTCCCTTCTGACTGTGTGCCATGGGCACCAGGAGACCTTGGTGTGATACTGATAAACTAATGGAATGCTGCCCACTCTACGGAGAACCAACTTCTCACCCAAATCATCACCAACACAGAATATGAACTTTAGGGGGAGGCCAGCCCAGCACCTGCATGTCAGAGGGGCACAGTGAGTCCTGAATGAACGAATGAAACTGAGAAACGAGTGCACAGAGCAGTCAGCTGAAATGAAGTAACCTCACAGAACAATAGCGGTCCCTCTGGGCTCCCAGGCAACTGAGATACCCCCAGAGTTCAATGACAAAAGGGACAAAGCCTCATGGCAGAGCCCCAAGAGGAGCACAGGAGGCTCCTGTGGGCTCTTGCTTGCCTCAGGTCAAATGCCATCAAGGGGACCACTGGACTTATATAAGGGCCAAGAGGCCAGTGGTGAGCTGACCACACTGGCCAAAACGGCAGAGCCGGAGCAGGGCCCAGCCGCATGGAGAGGCCCCGTCCTTACCGAAGCCTTGCCGCCCCTCTCCAGGTGCTGCTGCTCAGGTGGCAGGACAAACCCAGTCAGTGGAAGGCCGCTGGGCGAGAGATCCATCCCTGAGAGGAGGAGTCGCAGGTTAAAAGAACAACACCTCCCAGCAATGTCAGCCTCCAGAGAGAGAGCAGCTGTGGGCTGAGCCGACCCCAGAGGTGCCTTGGATGGAGGTACTTGTTATCAGGGAAGTGAAAGCGATGCCCACAAACCACTTTTACCACCACCCCCTCCCAACAGAGAGGAACACAGGAGAATAGTGAAATAGACAGAATGAGCCCACCTATCAGTTGCTCACCTATCACTGTCCTTGGTTCAAATTGAAGGAAAATGGTGATAGATTTACCTGTGTCATATTCACCTTTGAGGAAAAAATGAAAGCACTACAGAAATTGAGCATTTTCCTCCTACGGAGATGAGACTGGCAACCTCAGATGTGAGCTGCCATCATGGCCTCGGTCACAGGGAAGGGAGGGACTGGAGGGCAGGGCTGGCCCAGGTGTCGCATCCAGTGTCTCACCTTCGGTCCCTTCTGAGTTGGCCAGGCCACTGCTGCAGGGCCATGGGCTGGCACTCAGCCCCTCTCCTGCCAGGTCTATGAGGTCCTGCAGGGCCTGGTGCTCCCTCTGGCTGGCAGAGGGTGATGGGTTCCTGGAGCCAGCACTGTGGAGAGCAGGTGGCGTGTGTACGCCCAGCTGTAGCTGATCAGATAGCACTGGTGGCAGCGTGGGCTCCTGTGTGACATCCTGAAACAAGTCGGAAGCCAGAGTGACTGTGTGGCTGCTGCAGCAGCCATCACACAGTAGGTCCCTGAGGGTGCCAGCCACAGCCCAGAGCAACCCTGAGAGGCTTTTCTCCATCACTGTCTGTCAGCAGGCCTCTGTCACAGCAAAGGCTATGCCTGTGGCATCCAGGTCTACAGAAAGGTCCCTGGGGGCCCTGTCCTCCTAATGTTATCAAAATGGCCTTAAGTGAGTGAGTAGACTCCAGTACCACCTGCATCAGGCTTGTCTGGTTACTGGGCCTCATCACAGGCAGGTTATGCCAGACCCCTGGGGGAGAGGCCTGGGACCCTGTATTTTAAATACAGTCTCCAGGAACACAATATATTTGGGAACCAGTGGTCCTCCATGTTCTTACCAGGGGAGCCATCTAGTCACTGCAAAGAGAAACGCGTTATGGCTGACGCACCTAGGCTTCCTCTCCTCCCTTCCCTTCCCCTTCTCCTTGAACTTTGTCCTCCAGCTGTTGATTCCCAGTTCTGTAATCCTGGAGCTGCCACCCCCTCTCCAGAGCCTACCCGTGTGCGCCGAAGGGGAGGGCATACCTTGGTGAGCTTCTTGGGCATCATGGGCGGCTCCAGGCTTGCTGTGTAGAAGGATTCCAGAGGCCAGGCCCCAGTCAGGGCACTGCTCTCCCATAGAAAGTTCTGCTTCCCTTCAGGCAGTCGCAGACACCTGTGGGCCTTTTCTAGCTCTTCCTTTAACAGTCTGCTAGCAGGAAGTGGTGGCGTGCTGGAAAACTCCACTTCCTCTGCAAAAAGCTGGGCCACACGATCCTCAATCTGTCTCCCTGTGGTCTCCGAGTCCTGGACTAACAACTGGGGTGGAGAAATGGGTGCTTTCTTCTTGCGACTCTTCTTTTCTAGAGAGAAACAGAAGTCACACAGTCAATAACGGAGTCGTCCATGCATCCTGAGGCCCAGCAGTAACCTTCGGCTACCGGCAGCTCAGCGAGGCTCCCCCTGGGGCCACCACTCGTGGTCACACATACCTGTTCCCAGTCTTGTCCTCTCAGAAAAAGCATTTCCCAGTCTGAGCACTGCAGGCACAGCCTCCTGCTCCATCTCGGACCGGGAGAGAGCCATGGCCACCAGCATGTCCTCAGACGGCACCTCAGGCTCATTGGCCTTCCGCCTCTTCTGTGACTCCTTCTTGATGGGGGCTCCCTTACGCTTCAGACCTCCTGTGTGACTGCTGAAGCTTAAAAGGCAGCCAAACAGAAAGGTTACTGATGGCCAGGGTACAAGCACTTCCTGTTCTGAGGTATTCCCCACTGGACCAGGGAAGGCTGGACCCCTTCCCCTCTGCAGGGAGGAAAGGGATAAATGTGGACCCATCAGACAGAAGAATCAGGTGTTCACTGTGCTCATTCTGTGCCTTCCGCAAGCTCACGCCATCCTGGGCCAAAAGCTCAGTGCGGTCCAGACACAGGAGTGTCTGAATCCTTCCGTGTGAGGCTATCTAGCTGGGTTCTTGCTGGATATACAATGCTGACAGCGGTACCTGCACACCCCAGGTGTGGCCAAACCCTTCTGGTGGAGTCAGCACTCAATGGTTCTGACTCAGCACCCTGAATTACACCCACTTATGCCCATCTATACTTCAGATGCCCCTTAGGTGGTCCTGGCCACACTGGCCACAATAGGATCCCGTCCCTCCACAGGGGCCACAGGGCAGCATCTCTACCTGAGGCTTGAAGGAAAGGCCTCCCGGCTTGGGCCACCAACATGGTCAGCCAGCTCAGAGGTCAACGTGCAGGAACTCATTTGGCTTGGAGAATAACTGAAAGATTTTCTGGCTGGAGAGAACCTAGACTGCTTGCTGACTCCCAAGAGGCTGGACAAGAAGTAGGAGGATAAAGGTGAGACAGAAACGGAAGGCAAACCCAGCATCACCTTCCCTGAAGTTATAGGGTATTTTGGAAGCACCGCTGGCTTTCACAAAAGCTGGTGCTCTCCACAGGCCAGCGATGGCTCCTGAATCTCAGGTGTCACCTCGAAAGATCTAAGCGAGCCCCAGTTCAGTTCCAACTTCCTGGGA